CTGGGTCAGTCTTTATAGTCTCATAATACCATTTTTCAAGTTCAGCCTTCTGCGTCGGTTTGAGGAGAGTGGGTCATAAAAATCGATAGCTGGAAACACTCCAACATAATGCTGATTTTCTGGTGTGTTGAACTTATGTGGAAAATATCCTTCTTCATTTCTTTGATGTTAAAGGATTTGCAGAGGGATGAAAGAGGCTGCATAAACAAACTCAAAGAGTCAATGAACTTTATATTCTCCATCTGTGAGTAAAGAATTTTTGACCCAGACATGATGACATTTGGGACTAGTAAAAATTTCCTTTTGAAAAGTCTTGCATAATGAAATGACCATCATATCCTCTTTGATTATGTGCAATAACCTTTATCTGGATGGCGGTTCTTGAGTCATCTTCAGCTGCAGTTCGAGGAAGCATCTTATCATAGAGATAATTACAAAATTGTTCGACACACTCTGTTCCATACCATACATGTTCTTCATCACCACACATTTCACAATCTCTAAGGTTCCTTACTAAAGTTTTTTCATCAGTACATGATGTGCACATTGTCCTGCTTATCAACAAATTTGGCTGATGTGTCAGGATATTTGTATTGTCTGTCTTGGTGATCTGCATTGATTCTATGTCATAACAAATTAATATCCATGGTTTTACGTCATCGTCGATGAGATGTTCGAGGTTTGCTGGTTTGACATGACAGTAGTGTGGGCTTGCACGGTAGCCTACATCACAGAAATTGCAAGTATAAACATCACAAACATGATCACCTGCTGTTGTGTCATATTGAACCCAGCAGGTAAAACATTTTCTAATGCGACCACAAACACCATTCTGTTTATGCTGATCAAAGCAGTGTTGAGAATTCAAATCAACATTACACTCACTGCAAGTAATTCTTTGGATGAATACATGCCTTAACTGAACGACATTTTTACATGATCCTTTACAATAATGTGTATCTTTGCTGGTTTAGCCCAACAATTGAAACAAAATAGTCACAGTCCATGTACCCAGTTATTGATGGATGAGGTTGAAGTGTGGTGGTTCGCTGTATTCTAAAACAATTTATGTTCAACATCAGTGCCGGAAAACAGTTTCAATTGTGTCTTTGATCAATAACGACAATTTGATAAGATGGTAAGCTTTGAATCTCGTAAATTTTCTGTATGTCCAATGGTGAACTAACATCTACTTGCATGTTCATGAATAAATGGTAGATAACTTGTTTATTTTAGATCGTCTTAAGCTATCCAGAATTGTTTATTGTCTTTACATATAACTTCATCGACGTAAGCTTTCCCAGCAGCAATAGCCATGTATCCACACTTGTAGTCATCATTTGTAATCAAGAAAACACTTCTCTTTTGTGCTCTCTCAGCGCCTGATAAGAGTTTCAAACCCTTGCCTTGCTCCTCCTGAAATGGACTTGACTATTTGAACTTTTATTTCAAAACTCCATCATCTAGAAATTTCCTGCTGATTGTGCTAGTGCATAGGCTCTATCAAGAAACTCCTGTGGATTGAAGTTTTCTTGAGGAATGAGACATAAAGTTCACGGTTTTCTTGCGGATTACGAAATTATAAAGATCCCTATCATTTGAATTGGCATCTTCTATCAGTTTGAAACAAATCTTTCATAGGCTGTATCTATTGTGTGCGATAAGCGAAATATCAACACCGGACGAGCAGTTGTTGTTGAGCCTAGCGAAGAAGTTTGGTCATTGAATGAAGTTCGCATTTGTTCTCCATGGCTGTTCATCTACATCTCAAACTCTATTTCTCTTTCCTTGGTCTTGAATGAAGAATAGAATCATCACCTTGACCACCTCCCTGTTGAGAAAATCTTGTTTAGATCTGGAAGTGTTGTCTTGAGCGTGTTGAAGAGAAAGACGAAGACTGTAAGAGTTACAAGTTGAACATGTATCGCAAGTTGAACATGAGATTGAAGAGAAAGACGAAGACTGTGAAGAGTTAAGTTGAACATGTATCGCAAGTTGAACATGAGATTGAAGAGAAAGACGAAGACTGGAAGAGTTGCAAGTTGAACATGAGCTTGAAGAGAAAGAAGACTGTGAAGAGTTGCAAGTTGAACATGTATCGCAAGTTGAATATGAGTTTGAAGAGAAAGACGAAGACTGTGAAGAGTTGCAAGTTGAACATGTATCGCAAGTTGAACATGAGCTTGAGAGAAAGACGAAGACTGAAGAGTTGCAAGTTGAACATGTATCGCAAGTTGAACATGAGCTTGAAGTAGAAGACGATGAAGAGCGATGAGTTGATTGCGCTATATCTTGAGATGAGTGACTGACATCATATTGTTCATTGGAAGCACAAGAGTGTACAAGAGATGTAGAACCAGAACTGCTAGAATGGTTATCAGTATAATAAATAGCATCCGGTTGCTTTGAATTGATTGAGAAAGGATTTGTCCTGTCGCTATTTCATTAATCACACCAGTAGCTGATAAATCTAACATACTACCTCCTCCTGCTTCTGTTTCACCTTCTATCCCTAAGTTGATACATATGTCATCATCGTCTTGATTTTCCATATACATATCTAGTTCTTCATCGTTTTTAACATAGTAGTTTTTACATATCTCGTCGTCTTCATCACATTCCATACAAGCATCTAGTCCATGGTTTATCGAATCAGCGCAATTTTGGTTATCTGGAATCACAAATCTTCTGCAGATTTCATCGTATTCTTGCTCCATTTCCTCATTTAGAATTTGAAGGCTCGTGTTAAGTCCATGTTAACTGGTGATAAAGAAAAGTGTTAATATTAGAAAAAACTAACATAAAATCCCCATAGACAATACATGTAAAATTCCATAGAGAATACATGCAAAATTTTCCATAGAGAATACATGCAAAATTCCATAGAGAATACATGTAAATTTCTGTTAAAACTAAGTCGCTTGAAAAAGTTTCATTATAACTGTTAGCCTATATTAATCAGCGCAGTGAGTTGGACTTGCAACAATTTTTGAGATTTATAAAGTATGAGAGTTTATAAAAAGGCGGGAAAATTAAACCTATAGAACCTCAATGGTAACTTAAATAGAGTAAAATAGAAAAAAGAAAAGGGGGTGGAGACTTTTTTTACCTTTGAAATGTTGATGTGGTTGCTATGGTTACGGGTTACTATGGTTACTATTGTGTTGATTGTTAATTGTTAATTGTTGTGATTGTTGATTGTTGATTGTTGTGTTGTTGATTGTTGTGTTGTTGATTGTTGTGTTGTTGATTGTTGTGTTGTTGATTGTTGTGTTGTTGATTGTTGTGTTGTTGATTGTTGTGTTGTTGATTGTTGTGTTGTTGATTGTTGTGTTGTTGATTCTGTTGGTTCTGTTGATTCTGTTGTGATTGTTTTGAATGTTGAAAGTAAACTGAATATACTATAGTAAATAGCATACAGTAAATGCTGAAGGATGATAAAGATGATTGTTTCTTATACTATAGTAAATAGCATACAGTAAATGCTGAAGGATGATAAAGATGATTGTTTCTATGACTTCAGTACATTTCAATAGAAAAAGATTAACTCCCATTCACTTTCATTGCTTTCAATACATTTCACTGCTTTTCAATAGATTAGGTTTAAAAGATTAACTCTGAAAGATTAATTTCGAGAAGATTAACTTTCAAAAGATTATTTTTAAAAGTTTATCTCCTTCCAATTTTTCATTCTTCTAGTAAAGAGATTAACTTAAAACAGATTATAAGATGAAGATGATACTTCAGCCCACTGTACTAACAAGTGAGAGAGAGTCTTTTGCTTTACTATGGAGGAGATAGAAAGGAGCTCTACGTGAGATGGAGACAAGAGGTGGAGTTTAACGAGTGAGCATTTCTAGTATAAAACCCAAGATCTTGAACAGTAAGATTGTCAGTATTCATCTCCTCTTGCTCTTGCTCTTGCTCTTACTCTCACTCTCACTCTTTACTCACTTTACCTTACTCTTACTCTTACTCTCTTACTCTTACTCTCTTATACCTCTCTCTCGCTCTCAATATGTCTTCTACCTCCATCACCTCCAATCTTGCTTCCTCATCATGTCTTCAGCTACTTTGCCGACCCTCTTGCCCGATAGCTCCTGCTCCAGTCTCTCCTTCACCACCACTAAGCCACCATTATGCTCCTTCGGTCGTGGCTCTTCGATCCCTCGACGCCACTAGAAGGGCAGCCCTTGCAGACCCATACAGTCTGCAAGGGTCTGTTCCCTTGGCCGAGGTGATCAACCTCCTCAACTCTCTTCGTGTCTCAATTGATGAGAATGGGGATCCAGCTGCAGCCTCATCTTATCTGGTGGAAGCAGCGGATCAGATGATTGACTTTTATGGTCAGGAACCAACCTCAGCAGCTGAACCTGAACCCGAACCTGAACCCGAACCTGAACCAGAACCAGCATCCACGACCACCATCACCATTGACTCGACCATCACTCTTGACTCGACCATCACCCTTGACTCGACCATGACCGACCCCAACTACTCCACCATCACCGATCCCTCTGTCTCCATCACCCTTGACTCTATCTCCTCTACTTCCCTTGGCCCAATGTCATCCTTTTCCTCCATCTCCACCCATGAGAGTGACTGGTCCACAGTCTCTGATCACTCAGAGATTGGGATCGAGTCATCTCATCATCATCATATTCACCGGCTTCACCTGTTCCTCCACTCCACCCCATCAAGAAAACCCCAACCTGAACTCTCCCTATCATCCCTCAAGTTATTCACTTCCCTGTAAGAAGCGCACATAATGACTTTCGAGCTCATTCAGTGTCCCAAGCGTCTTCGAATTATAACTTTGCTTCCTTCAAATAAAATTAAATTTGAAAATTAAACTTTAATTGTCTTTTCTTTTTCTTTTTCGGGTTCTTAACTTACCTTAATTTGATTATAATCCTTGGAACTTAATCACTTTTCTTTATTTTAACTTATTATTATTTCATAAACCCTGGCATTTATTCATTAAGCAATGACACATTATTAGTTTCAATTAAATTTTCTTTCATTTTAACATGGTAACAATGTTAAATTTGATTTGTTTTTCTCTGAGAATTAAATTAATTGTTGATTGTCCACTCAATTGATATTCCAAATCAGCTGTTACAATTAACTTGATCAAATTGTTTTCACTTAATTATCCTCAGTCTTTGGATGTCTGGTTAATCCAATGATGAAAGAAAAAGAAACAATAATTAAACCTTTCATTTAATTACAATAAATAATGATGATGATTTAATTAGATGAAGATGATGAGATTAATTAATAATCAACTAATTAATCAAACAAACAAAACAATTTGATTAATCACTTTGTTTAGTTTGTCTGGAGCTTCATTGTGGTCATTTAAGGTTTAATTGTGCGATTACAATTAGATACACAATTAGATTAACATCATCAACTGCACTAAAAAAGGGTCAACAATTAAATTTAATTGTTCACTTACCTTTCAACAATACATTTCAACACTCCAATCAAACCTTTATTGTAACAATTTGGATGAAGATTATATTTCAATGCGGTTTCCATGATTATCGTTTCCTTGTCTATTAAAATTAGATGATTGTCAACAATTAACTTAATTATTTTACAATTTATTCTATTGATTATAATAACAACAAAATTAATCACAATTAAAAGCCTCCAAATGTTTACAGGTTGATAAACTTTAAGGTTTATCGTTTTATTATTATTACCGCACAAGAAAATAAAACAATCAACTAACCAACTAAACAATTTAATTTAAACATGATCAATGGTTTCACCATTTAATTAACTTAATTGTTCACACTTTCTATTAGATTTTCTTGTAATTTAACTCTTCTAAATAGGATGATACATTTAATCAAATGTATATTTAAGTTTTGATTGAAATCCGATTGGAATCAATTTCACTTTTAATCAATTAGTTTCAACGATTCTTTGATTAAATTTATAATCTATTGGAATTAAATTGTGTTGTGAACAGTTAATTAAATTTATCCAATTGATGAGAATTGAAAACTTTAATACCTGAGAGAGAGAGAGAGTGAAATTGTTGTTTAAATGATTAACGTTTGAGAAAATTACTACAACCGGATTAACTTTAATCCAATGAAATTAGATTAAGGATTATGATTGATTGTGAATTTACCTGGAAATTGATTCTCACTTGAATCGGGCGGAAGTGACCTCCGACCATATCGACCATTGAGAAAAAATTGAGAACTTGGATTGGCCATTGTAACGGTGATTAACGATGTAATTGTTGAGATAATAAGTAAACAGATAAACAATTGAGTTGACAATTTAACCGATGAAGATGAAGGTAAATTAATCATGATGATTGGAAACACTGATTGAATTTTGTTTCTCTCACTCAGATGGAAAGTTAATCAAATTATCGGAAAGAAACTGAGAAAACAATCGACAAGCAACTAATTAACTCTTTTTACGAACTTTTCACCGGAACAATTTACAACGATAATGGAACAATTTAAATTCTAAACTGGTGTTGATTTAATCACTGTGAGAGTTGATTGCAATAGATAATCATGAAAACCTTCATTAGATGATAACATGGGATAAATTGTGATAGAAAATTCAAAGAATAAGAATTGATAAGAAACCATAATAAGGAATCAGAATGTTACGACTGCGTGAGAATCACCGCAATGTGATGGGATTTTTTCATCATCTTCTCCATCATCAGTTAATTGTAAGCACTTTTTTCTCTTAATTGTTTGGACTCTAATCGAAGTGATTAGAGTCCATGTTCCCCCGGCGAGATGATTAAAACTTTGGACTCGAATTGAAGAGAGAGAAAGTTATTGGAATTTTATTTTTCTTTCAATTATTCGATAATATCTCATCTAAATTGTCTCTTAATTTCTTCCGATCAATTGGTTAATTGTTGTCGAGTTTATTTCGTATGATTAGTTAATTTGGTTTAGAACTTGGATCAAGATTATTAAACGTTCCCTTTAGAATCTTTGTTTTGGTTTTTTTTTTTTTTTCGCTTCTCGATGTTTCATTCATTTCTATTTTTGGTTAATTGTTTTTTCTTTAATTGCGCTGATTGATAACAATTAAATTGTTCTCTTGGTGGTTGATTGAGATTCTGTTCTTTTGGACCAAAGTTGTTGTATTCGAGTTTGTATCTATTGATTGTTGTCATTTCATTTTCCTTTGTGATGAATATTAGTTTAACTCTTTGTTGATATTGAGACTTTTTCTAATTGTTATCTAATTGTCTTAATTTCTTTAATTGGATTTATTTGTACAATGTAATTAAGATGCCATAGAAATTTCCATGTGATTATTCAAGGTGAATTTAAGTCAATTGTGATTCTCAGGTGAGATTTTGTTTCAAACAGCTGATCCGTTTTTCCTCTTTGTGTTAATTGTTGTTGCCTTTTTCTGTATTTGTTTTTCCTTCGTTATTTAAACAATTTAAGGTGATTATTTGGTCGGTTAATTGTTCGAGGTGATTAATCATGGCTAAAGTGATCGGTAAATTGCCTAGAAAAATACCGATTCCAGGAATTAAACATGTGATCCTCGTCTCATCGGCTAAAGGAGGTGTCGGTAAATCAACGGTCTCGGTGAATTTGGCCTTAGCTTTGAAAGCCGTTGAGAGGTCAAGTAAAATTGGCCTTCTTGATGCTGATGTTTTTGGTCCGTCGATTCCCAAATTGATGAACCTTTCAGGTCAACCAGAGATTACCAATCAAGGGCTAATGGTTCCCCTGGTTAATTATGGTTTACATGTGATGTCAATGGGATTTTTGGTAGAGGAAAAGAAAGCCGTTGTTTGGAGAGGACTTATGGTCATGTCGGCGATACAGAAATTACTTCGTGGAGTGGCCTGGGGTCCATTAGATTATCTAATAGTTGATATGCCACCAGGAACAGGGGACACCCAATTATCGATCACTCAAAATATTCCCGTCTCTGGTTCCATTGTGGTCACTACTCCCCAGGAAATTGCTCTTCTTGACGCTCGACGAGGTATCACAATGTTCAATCAGGTCGGAGTTCCGATACTTGGACTGGTTGAAAATATGTCGATTTTTATTTGCGAAAAGTGTGGACATGGAACTCACATTTTCGGACATTCAGGAGTCGAAAATCTTTCCCGTGAAGAGAAAGTCCCACTTTTAGGATCGATCGCCTTGGACCGATCGCTTCGGGAAAGCTGCGATTCCGGAAAACCGATTGTCGTGGCTCAACCCGATTCCAAATCTAGTCAATCATTTACAAAACTCGTTCACAATTTAATCAACCATTTACCTGGTCCATTACCTAGTTAACTGTCCTCATCGTTTTTGACAAAATTCACTCTCTCTCTCTCATGAACCCTGAGGCTGAATTTTGATAATTAAAACTCAAAAGTTTTATTTTATCAAATTTTACAAAATCTAATTACAAACAATCAGCTGATAATCAGTCGGGTGACAATCCAAAGGCCTAGAGGATAAAGATTATTGATTACAATCAGTGAACCAAAAAGATTAAATCTATTGACATTGACAGTAAATTGGACCTAATTTGACAATTTTTAATCAGTAACAATTAACCACAATCATAATTGGTAAATTATCAAGTTGATTAAACCTTGATTATGATTCATTAACCTTTCAGCTTCTAATCAAACAATTGTGATCATAGTTCAACAAGTTCATTGAGTAAATTTAAATTGTCCTTTTGTAACAGAAAACTAATCAACATGTCAATCAAACGATTGATAATTTATAATCTCAATTTGGCAAATTTTATTAATAGGAGACTTAATTTTCCATGTGAAATTAAATGCAAATTGAATCCAAAGTATTGGATGTTTACAATTAGTGATAATTGTGTTTCTTATAAAAAAAAATGATACAATGTAAATGAGGAAAAACAATAGGTTATAATAGACAAAAAAAACTTAATAAGGTGGAAAATTGTGATTGAACATTAGGGTGAATACAATTAGTAAACTAGATTCGTTTTCTTGGTAACAAATTTAGAAACATTTTGATTTTTTCTTGTTAATTGTTGAACAATAACAAGAAATAAACAATTTGTAAACAATTGATTACAACAGAGAGGAAAGTAATTAAGAGAGAGAGCAGAGAGAAGGAAGAAATTAAATTGAAAAAAAAATCAGATGAACAACTGATTAAAGTGCAAAAATACATTATTGTCAATGCATTAATTTAGATGATGGTTGATGAAGATGATGAATTTTGATGACAATTTTTTCTTGCTTCTTCGGTGATGATTAGTTGACGAATCGATAGATCAGTTCAAATTAATTTGATTACTTGGAACATGATTGTTAATCAAAGTGAACAACAATTCACTTGTTGGAAATTTGTTATTCAGATTCTGTTCGACCAACTTTAACGAAAACAATTTCGGCCTCAAGTCCGTTTTTCTCAAGGTAATTAATCCATAAGGCTTGTTTAGGAGAGACCTGATCACCGGGTCCTTTAACCTCGACGGCTTTAATTGTTGATTTACTTGGATTCCATAATAATACATCAGGAAAACCGCTCCTGTGACTACGATAATCCAGTGCTAATCTCTCGCAAATAGCGGCCAACGTATTGACTTTCATACATAAAACTATTTCCTGTAAGTGACGAAAATGAATAATAATAATAAAAAAAATATTAATAAATGAATAATTTACTCCAATGATTAATGATGAAAATAACTTGATAAGGTTAAACACACAATCTATTAATCATTTTTGGACATATAATCAACTGATAATAATCTCAATTAATGACTAACCTTCAACAAATTGATTGTACATTTTTCCCAATTCACTAGAGATGCACAATCTTTATAAGAATCCCAAGTTGCAGATATTTCCTCAATTAGTGATTCTTTCGTTGAACTTTTTATCATTTGTAATTTAGCGTTAATTAATGGTTGTCGACGAGAATAGAAATCATTGAAATTAAGGTCAAGCGGTACTCTCTGGTAGGGTGAATGGAAAGCATCACTTGCCATCAGATCATCAGCATAAATTATCTTCCAAAAGAGAAGGCAAAAAAGTGTATTGTAAACAACACCCTCGCAATGAATTCCCCTGGTGTATCCTTGTTTATTGTAATACTCGATTACAACTTGTTCGACTGGGATAATGTTCACTTCGCCGTTGTCTTTGGACGATATGAATACGTTTTTCCTTCCATCGATACATTGTTTTAACGCTGGTGCTTTGATTGTTGTTTGTTTTAACTTGAATTGAAATTCTTCAAGTGATTCAACTTTTCCGTTGGCAACAAGTCCAAGTTTCTTTGATCGTAGGTAGAGTGAATATCGGTGACCTCCTCGTACATAATTGTCTGAAAGTGCCACTCGAATTACCTCAATAGCTTCAACTGTTCGCTTAAGGTGTTTATCGTAATTTAGGGTTAATCTTTCAAACCATTTACCTCGATAATCAAGGCAATATAAACGCTGTGCAAGTAGTTTCTCTAGTAGAATGACAGCTTCATGGTAACATCGTCTTTGTTCAAGTACAGTTACGCAAGTTGTCAAAGCTCGAGTGAGAACATGACCAGAGGTAAATCGACGCAGGTAAGCGGGTAGTTTACTATCAAAATAGATTATATCTGTGGCGATCAAGGAATCAAAGGCATTTTGTATTCGTGGTAAAATAGTTTCGATGGCTAATTGTTGATTTCGTGTTTCAATTGCTTGCATCAGATCACTTTCCAAATTACATGCTTCTTCAAATAAGATTAAATTGTTCCGTCGAGGGAAAACTTTGGTGTGTTTGTTGATCATATAAGGCACGTACTTTAATTCACCTTGATCAACTTTCCATAAATTGAATCTAAAGAGAGAGAGAGAGAGAAAGAAATTAGAAATAATTAAAATATTTCTCTCTAATTGTTTACTATAACCATTAATTTTCAATTTCTTACAATTCGTTACTTAGCATAACACCATCATCATCGTCACTAATTGTTGGCGGGAATCGGATAAGTGCTATACGAAGAAAAACTCGAGCTGATTGACGGTCAACACGAAAACATGTATTCCCCAGTAATTGTTTAATTCTGTTAATAATAATAATAATTAAAAGAGATAGAATAATGATTAGTTAATCATATTGATTTAAAGATGATAAATTGAATACTTACTGATTTAAAACTGGTAAATCAATGTTACCATTACCATTGGAACCACTTGGTCCCATAAAGTGAGATGATATTGATTTACTTGATCGTACGTGTTTCTTAATTGCGTCAATTAAAGCTGCTTTGGTAGAATTAGTTTTAAGAGAAATTCCTTTTAAATGTTTAGCGAACATTTTAATTTCACTAGCATCCAAACAATTAAGAGCATCCGTTAGATTATTGAGATGATCAACTGTAAGTAGAAATGAAAATAAAAACAATGAAAAAAGATACAATTAATATTCAAGATGAAGATGCTGAACATTGGAAAAGGAAGAGAAAGAAAAAAAATGTCAAATGTATTCATCTAATTACCTGAAATTAGTAACTTATATCTAACTAATTCTGCTAATTTCGTTTTAATATTATCGATATCAGGGTATCTCATTGATTGCATTCGGATCCAATTTGGTTTACGAACCAAAAGTCTTAAATATAAAGCTTGAGCAGAATCTGAAAGAAGAACAAGATTAAAAATAAACATGCAATTAGTTGATTAGTTAATTAAATTTGTAGCATTTTAAGGTAACGTGGAAAATTGAAAAGTTCAAGGTTACGAACTTACAACTTAGATTGGTGAACTTGTAGAGAGCATCCCAATCATGATCATCGAAAAGGTGAGAATAATGATTATCCTTAAGAACTGAATCAATCATATCACGAAAATGTTTCAATTTATAATCTTTCTGCCATTCGACTTGGGGTGGGTCATTTTCTTTTGATTCAGAATTTAATTCTGAAACATCACCTTTGGTATCAATTACTATTTGGAGAAAATCTTCAATTTTAATGAAATTTTTCTCTTTCAATTTCTCTATTCTTATTTCTTCATCATCTTTAACTGGTTCTCTCCATAATGATTTAATCGGTTGATAATAAGGATATGGTGAATTGACCATTGGCGATTTTGTTTCATTACGATGAGGTAACATTGGTGTTTTAAATGATATCACATTAAGATCATCTTCATCTTCAATTATTTCAATCTCTTGAGATGAACCAATGTTATTATTTTTACGTTGATTTAGTGATTGTTGTTGTTGTTGTTTTTGTTTATTATCCTTACGATTGGCACTTACACCTTTAGATTTGGGAACCGTTGGGGATTTGAAATAACCGTTGTTACCATTTAGATTGTTTAAATCATCTTCATCACTTAAATCAATCACATTGGGTACACTTTTATTGTTGGATAATTTTAATTCTTGATGGATAATTGATGGTCTGGTAACCGTTTTTGAATCAATTCTGATCTGTTTCTGTTGTTGTTGTTGACTTCCTTTACCAAAAAAGTCGAGTAAAGTTTTCCTTTTACCAATGGTTTCATCGCCGTTTGAGTTAACACTTCGTTTATCATATTTGGGTGCTGGTGGTGGCATTTTGTGGTTACTTAAACCAGAATGGTTTGTTTTATGAAGTAATTGTTGCTGTAATTGTTGATGGTAAAGGTGATGATGATGATTAGATGATGGGTTAGGCTGATGTTGTAATTGCAATTGCCTATGAACACTGGCAAGTAAAAGTGATGGATCTTTAACCAGAACTGAATAGTCTATAGGTGTTGTCGCTTTCAACTGCTGGTTAGGGTTAATTTTAGGCATCATGGTGAAAATAATTAAAGATGAAGATGATTTTATCACAGATCATATACAGAAAAAAGAGAACAAGGAAACAGAAATGATGATAGAGAGAGAGAGAGAGAAAAAAAAGAGACAAGAATATATAAGAAGAGAGTCACAAAAATGTCAACAGTAGAAGGAAGAAGATGAAAAAATAAACATATAAGTCGAGTTAATAATTGGGTTGATTAGAGTGAGAGAGAGAGAGAGAGAGAGAGAGAGAGAGAAACACTTAGGAGAGTCAGAGTGAGAGAGAGCAAAAATCAACGTTGAGTTTATATTGTTTTCTATGATGATGATTATCTTTGTTATAAATTGTGATCGAAAATAATATTATTCACTAATGTGACATATCATTGAAGCACCGAAAACTATAAAGTGAAAATCCTTGAGGTTAGTAAACAATTTTTCATATTTCATGAGTGATTCATGTTATTATTTTTTTTTCTTCTTCTTTCTGATTGTTTATTGTCTAAAGGGTAAATTGTAATTGTTGTGTTACTGGTGAGATGATGATGAGGTTGTAATGATGATGAGAGATGTGTGTGAGTGTGATGATAGAAGATATAATTTGGGAGTGTTACAAGAAGGTAGTAGACGAGTTAGCAACAGTTTCAACTCTCTCTTTCTTTTTTTTTTACTCTTATTCCACACACACACACTTTCCCTTTGCAGTGTTGTTGTTTGTCTACTTATCCCCTCTCACTGAATCTCAAGGTCTCTCAGGCCAAAGAAGAAAAAAACAACATGTTACAACACTGAAAGAGAGATTGAAAGAGAAAGAGAGAGAGATAGAGAGAGAAAGGAAAGAATAAAAAAATTCTTTTCCAAAATGAAAAAATATCCAAACGAGAAGATGATTCAAAGAGTTTCAATTGAGAGAAACTATTGTACAATCAATTCCTTGTTCTGGTGAATTCAGAGGTAATGATGGTGGTGGAATATAAATGTTACTTTCACATAAATACACTCACACATACACGGAACTAGAACACAAATGAATAATAGTTCCTGTAGATATTGTTATTAACAGAAAATCATGAAATCGAATAAAAAAAAGAAAAGAAAATTATTTCAAATGTTAGACTTGTTGTTGTTGTGTCAAAAAAGGTAATAATAACGATGATGATGAGGGAGTGAAAGAGAGATAGTGAGTGAGAGAGAGAGAGAGAGAGAGAGAGAGAGTGAGTGAGTGAGTTATAAAAAAGTGGGTGAGAGTCAACACTAAATGGTTAACTGTTATGTTACTGGTTAATTAACTAGGCTAACGGGAAGGCTACTCGAAAAGGATTCAAGGTAAACCGTAAATAATGTTTGCTGGTAAGTAAAAGTTACCAACCTTTTAACAACAATTTGAAACTAATATTTACAACAATGAAAAAATGGCGATAATTGATTAGTTAGATGGAGAAATTAACAATTATCAATCAACTATTTGATTCAATTTGATTTTTACATTGTAACTTATGACCATATACTTGATGGGATTTTATATATAAAAAAAAATGAAAGAGGGAAACTGAAATGATAATGATGATGATGGTTTCTCACTTTTACATTAACATTTGAAGGTTAAATGATTGTTTTTCAGTTAAAACAATTAGTATTTATAATTTAGGGAAACAATTATCTAACAATTAATATTATTATAAACACAATCAGTGAATATAATAAACTAGCAACTACTAGAGTATTGGGTTGAAACAAAATGGCGACTGATACAAATTTAAACTGTGTTGTTATTTTAAGCATAAAAGGTTAGGGTTAAGTTGCGTCATGTTGCTAAGGCAAATCAAAAAGGTTACAAGGTGATGATAAACAATCATATTAATATACTACTAATTAATTGATAGATTTACTTACAAATGATTAATTGACTAAGATTGTATGAGAGACAATTTATTGTGTTAATTGTTGTATTGGTTTAGTTGATTGATTAAGTGTCCAAGTTGATTGAAGGTTGACCACAAATCAGGAATATAAATATTATATGGATTACATGTAATTCTGAGAGAGAGAGAGAGAGAGATGAAATAAGATTATTAGAATTGAAAATTTTGGGTGTGACCTCAGGGAATCACTTTCAGTTAATTGTCAACAATTTAGGTCAATCAGTTTGGGAATAGAGTTTACAATGAGAAAATGATATTAATATAAAAAGAGAAGATGATGAGACAAAAGCTAAAAGAGATTCCGTTAGGCCTAATGAATGGAAATTTGGTTAGAAAAGAAAATCGAACTCAAGGTGAAGTAATTAATTATTTTAGAATTTAAGAAATTGGTTATTACTGTTAGAAGAAGATAGGAAATTGATTAGTAAATTGTTGAGATTATGTGTGTTACAGAAATTGAGAAAATGATGAAATAAGGAAGCAAAAAGTTAGCAAGAAATTATCATAGATGGAAAACTGGTTCATTTTCGGTTTTGTTTATCTTCTAATTAAAGTTACCTGGTCAGTTAATCAATGAATGAGATCATACACACAATTGATCATGCGATCATGGAAACAAGAATTAACTATCACAATTAAGATGAGAAGTAGAAAAAAAAAGTTGAAGGTTATCAAGATATTCAATGGTTTCCACTTCTCGTTTGTATTTACCAATAGGAAGGAATAGTTTTTTTTCTGTTTATTGTTAGTAAATTGAAATCACAAATTATATTCCGCAATTTACTAATCATCTTAATCGTGATTAGATTTAGCTTCCTTAGCGATCAAGTTCAAGTTCAGGTTAATCGTTTCTCTCTCTCGATAAACAATTAACAATCAACTAAAAAGAGAGATTTGAATGAGAAAAAGATTCAGAATATTAAAGATAAACATGGAAAGTGAATGTTTAACATTTAACCCTGACCCCGTTTACGATTAGTGTTTGATAAGTGACGAAGTTGATTATATGATTGTTGATCCTTGAATTGTTTCAACAATTAAAATGGTAAATGATAAAATTTAGATAATTTCAAATGGTTAATTAAAGTAAACTGAATGTTCTTGATGGAGAGAGAGAGAAAGAGAAATTCATAATTTCTGTTTTCTCGGATCATCTATCAAGTCCAGTTTTCGGTTTTGGGTGAAATGATTATCACAATTAAACAATCAGTGTGTCATTAAGATTGACACTGACCAGAAAATCAAATATAATCATTACACCGTTAAGGTTAAAAATCAAACAGTAACAATTAAGTTAATCGTGTATCATATTAATAATCTTGATCAATCTCAAGGAAATCAAAAGCAATATAAACAGTTCAACTTATTGAATAAGTATATTGATGATGATGATGATGGAGAGAATTGATTGAAATTAGTTAATCAATACAATGAAAGGTTAATTTTAAAAGGGAAAAAGGTAAATTGTTGTTGAGTGAATAACATGTAACCGGAATAATGAGAGATTATTGATTGAAATGATTGAGAAATTAATTGAAGAAATAGAATTACAATATTTCATCAGAACATTTTTCTATCTGTTTTTGTTTTCTAAATCGATTCCATCTTTTTCTTGATTATTCTTGGTACTCATAAATCAACAAACAATTACAATCATAACCTTCATCTTACCTTTCAAGTAAATGATTTAATTCCGTGAGATTGATTAACCAAAACACCAAAAAAAAACCACAATTGATCAAGATTGATTTTCAAGATTGTCGTTTGTTGTTGACAAGCTTATGACAAAATTTTCCAAAATGTCAGAGATTTTAGCTTTCAAACAGATTATCACAGTTAATTGTGGTCACTAGAGTGTTACCTGTTTATACAACAGTAAGAATAGAAAAATAAGAACAACAATTAAGTAAACAAAAAAAGAAACACAATTAAATGAAATTACCTTGTCTCTAGTTACGAAAAGGAAAATCAATTGAAACAAATTCAATTCAATAATTTCAAGCGAAAGGTTAAAACTCAAAGTAACCCAAATGTTGGATGTTCACCTTTACTCTTTGACACAAACAAATTTGCCCTTTAACACTAAAGTAAAGTAATTAAATCAATTGAATCAATTAATTAGTAAAATGAAAGGAAATTAATTAAAAAATAATCAAAAGAAATTGTAACAAACAAAGTCAACAGAAAAATTTGTCCATCGAACAGATGGTAATTACCGAATAGAATATGCGGAAATTTTGAATTCGAAAAGATATTCGAGTATTCTATCGGTATCTGTTCTTGCGTAGAAAAGAAATGTAAAAGTAGATATCGATAGAGTAGTTGAGTATCTGAAATAATTTTCGATTTCTTAATTTTTGGCTATTAATTAATCGCAATTAAAATATTTCCATGAAAATTAGTTGATAGTTAGGCGATTATGATTGAAATCGATAGATTTTTTTATGCTCTACAAGAAGATGGTTATTTTAAGATTGAAAGGGATTTCGGTGGAAAGTTATTGAGAAGAAAATTGGAAAATGATTAATGATTAAAGATGGAAATTTATTTTAGTTTAATTGGCTTTAATCATCGAATTGGTTGTAATTAACTTTGGAAATAAATTATATTCTCTGGACAAAGGAGATAATAGTGGTTATCATTTAACGATGAATTTACAGGATGATAAAATATTGGAATTGGAATGAGATGATCATTGGAACAGAATTAATATTGATCGAAAAAAAAATTTTTCGAAATTAATTTGTTCGTAATTAATGTGACATTTTATATTCTTTTTGGTTTTCTTTTTCCAATCACATGTTGAATTTGAATATTTTAGGTCCTTTTGGATCGATGTCACTGACAAAGATGCTCTTCCGATCGGACGAGATGGTCAAATCATGAGGTTGACGAAAACCCGAACGAGGTTTCCATGCGTTTACAATACGTTCTGTCGCCAAGTTGAATATGATTCCTTCTGATTGTGATTCGTCTTCGGGAACACTTAAAGCGAACAGTAAATCACCGACATGATCAATGGCAAATATACGATTAAATCTCGGATGGTTAATGTTAAAGGTCAGAATTCCAGGTTGAGTTCGATCAAGACCCGCAGTGTAACATAAAATCCTTCGTTTTTCCCGATCGGCAACACAGATCAGATTCTCTTCCTCCAATAGAACTAAACTATGAGGTATCACCATATTATCTGTGGGGAAAATAAAAAGACGATAATTATGAGAAAAAATGGGAAATTGAAATTCGAAAGAGAAAAACAAAAGACAGAAAACCTTTTATTCCAATTTCGGACAGAACTTTTCCCGAAGGTGATAAAATTAATATCCTCGAATTACAATAACCATCGCTAATATAAACTAATCCAGTTGAAGCGACAACAACATCGGTAGGAAGACAAAAGTGATTCCAATCACGTCCTGGTTGAAAAGGTTCACCCAAGACCAGGTCGGGTTTTTCGAGATCGTCCCGTTTGAACCTGAATACCTGTTGAAGAGCGACATCAGTTAACCAAATATTACCTTCCCGATCCAAACTGATTCCATGGGGCATATAAAATCTAACATGTTCAGAGGAATATGATTCATAGCAATTAGCTTAATTTAATCGAGAAAATTTTGAACACAATTCTAATCACTTACTTATTCGCTCCCCATGATTTGATCACTTTTCCGGTTGTACCATCGACAACGAAGATCGTATCATTGGCTATTGGTCCTTTATTGATCTTCTTATAATGTTCCGATATGTCAAATGATCTGAAAGTCAATTAGATTGATTAGTTTGAAATGGAATTGACCTTAAGGTGATAAATTACCTGTGATCCCAAACATGGTCACCTCGGTGAAATATGTAAATCGAATTGTTCTTGTGACTTGCAATTCCAGCAATTTGACCCAATTTACTGAGAAAATCGCTTTTAGGCCAATCAGTGTCTTCGGTGATTCTTGGATAATCAATCTCCCAACCCGAATCTTCATCTCTCATGTCACCGAATTGCTTTGTTTTTGTCCAAAAACAAGAATCAGAGAAAACAATTAAATCATCTAATCATCATGATCAATATTAAATCAAAGATTTACCTGTAAGGATTTTTGTGATAATATTCCTGGTTCATAACCAGCAATAAGATCCTCATTATCAATCAGAGCTTGTGGATTCTGATTGAATTCATAATAAGCTCCATTTCCGGGTTTGATTAGATTTACAATCAGCCAGCAAATAAAAATGATTAACTGGCTTCCAATTTGATTAACCATAATCAGCTAATTAACTCTATTGATAAACACACTGATTAATTGGAGGTTATTGTTGATTGTTTTCACTTTGATCCTTTTGGAAACCAATTCAATTTGTCTTATAAATCAAACTTTTTATTTGTTTCTTACTTCAATTTAAGTTAATTGTTTAGATTTAGAATTTAAATTATAATAACTTATTAGAATAAAAATTTATTCTTCAATATGTTACAATGAATTCTTATCACTTTTCTCTAGTAAAATATGTGATATATGAGTAGAAAGATGAACTTTACCTTAGGGTATTCGGTGACTACCATGGTAACGATAAGAATAGTTTATTGATTTCAATTCGAGGTATGAATGAACTTGCGCTGAACATTTCGATTACATGTTTACCTTATCGAATTAAATATTGGACATGAAATTGAATCAACTAGTTTCAGTTATTACGAAATCAAATTCATTGGAATGAAATAATTTTCGATTGTTCAGTTTTATTTTTTTTTTCGATGATAAAAGTTGGTTAATCGTAATGAGAATTGATGACAGTTTAAATTAGTCATCTAATTGAAAATTCCATGAATGAGATGAAACATCAATTAATCAGAACTTCGAATAGATAGAAAATTCTTTCGATTGTTGTATCAGATTTTACTCTTTCGGTTCTTCCGATTCCGTTGAGTTCGCGCTTAAAAATTGAGCATTTTCATTGATAACACTTTAGAATCCGTTATATCCTTTTCAAGGCCTTTGGTTGGTTCGAGAATAGTCAAAGTTGTGGTGGAAAAAAGCGGAATCATGAGTGTTACTTTTCAACCTTTACCAAGATGAAGAAAAGAGGAAGACCTTGAATTGTTGGTGTTGAATGAATTTGCTGAATCTTGTTCAGTCTCTTTCTCTCTTTTTACATGAATACGTAGATTATTTGAAATTGTGATGTAAACTACTGACAGCGAAAGTGAACTTTTTGCTTCATGGAGAACTGAAAGAAAGAGAAAGAGTTAGAGAGAAAGTTCTAACCAGCGGAATGGCTGAAAATTCTTGTTTTCATCTTCTCTGATTAGTCTTCTTGTTGACCTTGGTTCTTTGACACTCCTAACTGGTTATCATTTAGAAGAAAAGAAAACACGAAATTTTCTCCATTTTGTTTCTTTTCTACTTGTTTTCTACCAGAACAATTCAGCTTTCGATGGTGAAAAATATCAGAGAAAGAGAGAGAGGGAGAGAGGGAGCGATTATCATGATAATAATGTTGTTTTCAATTTTGTTCCAAAGACCTTCAGCTTTATCCTCTTCATGATTTGTCTTCAGGGGATGGAAACACTTTCACCATTTCAGAGTCTGGGAATTTCTTAAACAAAGGTTATACAATGAGGTAATTGAAAAAGTGATTGGGTTAATTGTTGACTTTCTGAGACTTTGATTGACAATTTGTTGATTTCAAATGTAATTGTCGTTATGATGGTGACAGTTTTTCTTTATCAGTTGATTTCGTTTTCATGCTGATTCCAGGGTTAAGGTTAATTAGTAGAGTTTGATCTTGGACGTTTAATGGAACGTTAATCTTTCGTCTTCCTTTTGATTCCAATTGATTGTCCCAAAATTTAATAGCTCATGGTGACTCTTTATCATTCTCTTCAATTCGAGTTGTTCAGGTCTTTTGGTTATCTGTCCTTGACCTCAAATCGTTTGACTCAATCAGAACTTATCATTCGATTAACTCGATATTAATCATGTCTTACGGCTTTTCCTTGTTCTTCCCTCTTCTGGTTAAAATGTTTCTTCGAACATTCATTTTTTTAATGTTCTCAATTCTTTCCTTAATTTTCTTCCGCAATCTTCCCAATGCTTTCAAATTGGACACCATTTTCTCTGAGGTGAACAAATTAAGAACGAAATTCACCAATTTATCATGATCAATATGAGCAAATGACTAAGAGAAAAATTGAAACTCCAATTGAAAGAAACTCATAAATTTGACCATCAAATCCTTCACCTTGATTGTCCTTCATCATCTAAGGACCAATTCACCAGGACCAATGAACAGATTACTCAGAACTCAACCTGGAAATAAAGAAAGTAATCGAAAATTAGTTAATTTAATCACAACTAATAAGAGAAATAAAAAAAAACAACCAACCTTATAGGTAACCGGTAAGTCACAGTAAAGAAATTAAATTCAAACCGATTGTCTCTCCAATCTTAGTGTCCCACCTTGATTGTCGTGGACAATCAAATAATCGGTCATCTCTAATCACAATTAAATCTTTTCGAGGAACAATTAATAAAGAAAGAGATGAAAATATAGACCAAAACACCAAAATGATCAGCAAACGAAGGGAAATAAACAAAGTAAACAAAGGAAACAGAATCAAATTAAATTGAACAATTAACTAATTACCATAGTACAAGTACCATTTATTAACACTTAACAATCAATAGAAATCTACTTAAGTTGATTGATAGAATTAAAAAAGATAATTAATTGCAAGGTGACCCAAAGAGAGTAGGTAACGAAAACATAAACAAATTAATCTCCGTGACTATCAACACATTTGTTTCTCTTTCTTTTAATTTTCTCTTTCTATTTCTCTGTCTAATTTACTGTCTACGTTTTTCTTTCAACTGAAACCAAAACATCACCAATTGTGTTTTCCTTTCCCTTGGTCTCTTAATTGTTTCACTTAAATTGTTTCTAATTTATTTAATTCCATTCAAGTATAGAGTAATATCAATCTTCCAGTAATTGACAATCACAAATTAATGGTAAGAAATTAAGAAAAAGCAAATCAACCGATGATAAACATCATATGTTTTCCTATTTATTTACAACCTTGAAGGTTTGTATTTGTATTTTTTTTTCCTTTGTGATTTTTTTGTTCTTTTTCTGTTTATTTAACTAATTGTCTAATTTACAATTAACTATAATTGATTCTAATTACTAGCTGACATCCCGGACATCATCTGATTGAGTTACACTGATTGGTAAACATAACAATGTCTTCAATTAAATATCTCGGTAAATTGCGGTTAACCATTAATTTGGGTAATCTATTGTCTCCAAGAAAGATCTCACCATCAATTATTACATCTTCTCCATCATCATTATCATTTTCTTCATCATCCTCATCACAACAACAACAATCACCACCTTGTTGTTCATCTAAAATATCATCATCGCCATCTTTAACTTTACCATCACAAGTTTCATTATCTTCCCATCTTCATCATTCTCACCAATATCCAACTATAATTGTCACCGGTCAGTGTCTACAATCAATATTCCGATGAACGATTTAAGTTCTGATGAAGAAATTACTCAATTGTCTAGTTTAGCAGTTTCGCCAGATCTTACCAATCGTTATATCAGTTACAAGAGACACTTTAAGAGTAAGTAAAACAGATTCTAAATAGAATAGAACAAAAAATATTCTATTCTCAAAATTTTCTATTCTAAATTTAATTTTACTTCCTTTTGTTTTCCCTCAGATAAAATCAAAGAAAACAATATCGATCCGAACGGAGTATTTGCTAACAATGAACTGGATCTATCGGAAATTAAGGTTTACGGTTTCGATTATGATTATACTTTGGCTGTTTATAAAGAATCTCTTCATTATTTAATCTACAATTTAGGACGTGATGTGTTAATTAGCAAATACAAAGTGAGAACTTTCATTAAGTTTCTTCTCTTATTGTTTCATTGAATTTTTGCTAATTTTGTTTACTTATCTTCATCTTAAAGTATCCAAAGGAATCAAATCGTTTAATTATATTCCCGATTTTGCAATTCGAGGCCTTCATTATGATATTGAACACGTAAGAAAAAAAATCTATTGAAATGTTTACTATTTTGTTTACCCAATATTATTTTGTTTATATCAATTTCATAGGGACTTTTGACTAAGATCGACTCGTTTCATCAAATTCAACTTGGATGTGTATACAGAGGATTCAGCCCTTTATCCGATGAAGAAGTGACCCAAATATATGGTGGTTGTTACATCTCCCAGTCATTGATTAAACCTGAAGATGATCATCCAAAGATGAAACAATTAAATGATCTCTTCTCTGTGCCAGAAATTTGTTTACTTGCAAATGTAACTGAATATTTTATCAGGAATAATATTCCCTATTGTCCAGAGATACTTTTCTATGATGTTCAATCGGCTGTGCAAAGTATTCACCCTGTGATGCATCAAATGCTTGATCGTGATAGAATCGGTGATTATTTAGAAAAGCGACCTGAACTTACAGAATTTCTTACTCGACTTCGAGTTGCCAAAAAGAAAATGTTCCTAATCACAAACAGTCCTTTCGATTTTGTGTAAGTCTCGGTGTATATAATTCACTCTATATCAACATAACAGAAATCAATCAATTCCAGATTAATTTAATTGTCTAATTTTCAATTTTCAGAGACTGTGGCATGAGATTTATGATTGGTAACAATTGGACAGATTTATTTGACATTATTATTGTTCGAGCTCGAAAGCCAAAGTTTTTCAATCAAGCTCATAGGTAATCATTTTATTCATTCATTTGATTGTTGTAATTTCTTTTTTATTCAACTAATTTAAATCTCTCTCTTAATCGTTCAGACCTTTCAGAAGTTATCAACCTGATACTGATTCACATACATGGGAAGAGGTGACTCGTTTTGAAAAGGGTAAAGTTTACATGGAAGGGACAGTGAAAAAGTTACTCGAACTGACCGGTTGGCATGGTAATAATATCCTTTATTTTGGTGATCAAATTTACGCTGATTTAGCTGATTTAACTCTTTTCCATGGTTGGAGAACCGGAGCTGTAATTGGTGAACTTGAGGTATCAATCTAAATGATAATCTACTCGACTCTCATGATGAACTAATTTCTTTATTCTTTTTCTCCCCCTAATAGAATGAGATTAATATTCTGAATTCTGAGGAGTTTTCAGAGGCAATCAGTGAATTACAAGCAATCCAATTGCTGATCGATGAACGTCAAAGAGACACATGCATCTTAAAGTCACCTCTCCATGCCGAAGATTTGTTACAATATTTATTTCGAGATCGAGAAGTTCTCAGATTGAAATCGAAAAGTTTATTCAACCCACAATTCGGAAGCATATTTAGGACACATCATAATCCGTCCTACTTTTCCCGTCGACTTTTCCGTTACAGTGACATTTATATGTCACATATTACGAACTTGCTGAACTATTCAGTTAATCACATTTTCTGCCCTCGAAGGGGATCATTACCCCATGAAAAGATGTCCCCAGTTATCAAAGTTCGGGAAATTCAATATTAATCGGCAAGGAAAACCCTGTGGTTTACTAATTGCTGATGATTAGAAATCAAGATTATGGAAATTAAAAAGAAGCATGAAAATCAACTCAATCATGACTATGGAATCAATTGAGATCTAAATCAGAGTTAATTGTTCACTTGCAGCTCAACAACCAATTTGGACAGAATCATCTAGATCAGTCATTTAATTAATCACAGTAATTAACCGCTCCAATCTTTAACCAACAATTTATCTTTATCATTTGTTGAATAGACATTTAGATTTAATGATTAATTAATTGTAGCGATTAAGAATTAAAAAGGAATCTCAATTTCTTTGGCTTAGCTCTCTAAACAATTTACATGACTAATTAATCCTGATTTAATAAATCTCAATTGATTCACAATTATCGTGATGAAAAAAAACAAAATTCAAAGAAAAACAAATTGCTCATCTAATTAAATTAATTATCGTCAATACAAAACCAAGAAACCTGAATAGAAACAATCAAAGGATATTAATTGTTACAGTTTTTATTTGAAAGTCTAATCATAATTACAGAGCTTATAATTGTAATTAAATTAAAATGTATCTCTAAATTGTTTCAAATCAAAACTACGATGGTCAGTTTTCACTTTAAACTAGACAATCAACTTGAAGGATAAATATTGTAACAATTTGTTTTATTTCTGGGAAAATAATTGAATTTAAATTGAAAACAATTAAACCATTTACAAAAAAAAATTCGTATTAATCGATCGACTTCGGTGTCTAATATTAGCACTCGAAGATTAATTCACTATTATCTTAACCTATTCGGAAAAAGGGTTGGACTCAAATTTTGATTTCTTATTTCTCGAAAGTTAAATTAGTTAAGATTATAAAAAATATCTCAATTGTATTTGCTAATTAACACATCACGTCCTAAATTGTAGATTAAATAATGAAGAGATTCTTTATAAACAGCCAAAGTATAATCATAATCGAAACCGTAAACCTTAATTTCCGATAGATCCAGTTCATTGTTAGCAAATACTCCGTTCGGATCGATATTGTCATCCTTATAACTGTATCATCGTTAAAAAAAACGAAAGATGTGTTTTCCGTTTCCTCAACAAAATACCCGCGAATTTGAACTCAACTCTCTTGATTATTCTATAAATAGATGTTATTATTAAGTGCGAGTGATTTATGAGATATGATTCCCTTCAAGGTTATCAAAAAACTACGAGCCCGTTGCAAATGCGTTAATGAGAGGTAAGGTGAACGATGTTACATTAGATCTTGGCAACAGATTAAACAATCAAATGTAACAATCAAATTCTAACAATTGAATTAACATTCAAATGATCCAATCAATATATTAATCAATTTATACAAATGATATCTAATTAGCCATTTATGGTGAATATCTGGAGCGATTATATGTCAATCAATTGATTCTAAACAATCGAAAAGATCTAGTCTCTTTTAACCAACAATTTATCTTCATCATTTGTTGAATAGAAATTTAGATTTAATGATTAATTAATTGTATCGATTAAGAATTAAAAATTTCAATTGATTCACAATTATCGTGGTGAAAAAAAAGCTAAATTCAAAGAAAAACAAATTGCTCATCTAATTAAATTAATTATCGTCAATACAAAACCAAGAATCATGAATGGAAACAATCAAAGGATATTAATTGTTACAGTTTTTATTTGAAAGTCTAATCATAATTACAGAGCTTATAATTGTAATTAAATTAAAATGTATCTCTAAATTGTTTCAAATCAAAACTACGATGGTCAGTTTTCACTTTAAACTGGACAATCAACTTGAAGGATAAATATTGTAACAATTTGTTTTATTTCTGGGAAAATAATTGAATTTAAATTGAAAACAATTAAACCATTTACAAAAAAAACTAACTCTTTACACTTTAATTGTCCAAGTGGTTAGATTAACAATTAATCTTAAATCCTTAATCGCGATTAAAACTTCAGTTAATCAGTTTATTGATTAACAAGATTTTAAGTATTAGATTATAATTTAAATCAAACCAATGGAAATGAATCTTAATCACTAATTATCGTTTCTAATTTGATTCTTGACCACAATTACTTTTAACTCTTGACCAGAGACAGTTGATTAAATTGTCAATTGATGATCAATACAATGTGTTTACAATTAGTTTCCCGAGGACAATTAATTAATTACAATAGAAACTGTCATGTTGGACTTAATTGTAACCATCTAATTGTGTGTCCAGTTAATTATAAATCAACTTCGTTAATTATCAAATCAACAATTAATTCAAGACTCTCTATGTTATTGTTAATCATATTTGTGACCAGTTATTTATTAATCAACCTTAATCATGGGCAGCAATTAGCAACAATCAACCCGCCTTGGTCTTCAACCCATCGGACAATTAACTTGATCATCTCAACAATTAGTGATTGGAACAATTTAACAACATTTCTGGTTGATTGCTGGTTCTGGTTAATTACAATGATTATCTTGATTTCCCTGTTAATTGTTTGCTTAATTGCTTTGATAGTTACACTAATTATCTCATTGTTACTGTTTTATATCATCTTAATTACAACAACATCTAAATTTGTCTCATCAATTATACAATTAACTTTTGATAAACTTCATTTACGATTTGGTAAATTGTAACAATCAACTTAATTTCATCAACACAATCAAGTAAATTATTTCTCATCTCTTTATTTTGTAATTAACTGTCAATTGAATTTAATTTTATTCATCATCAAGAGATCAAACTTTCAACAATTAAATTTAATTTTAAATCAATTTTTGTCTTTCCAATCACAATTAACATAATTTAAACTTATAAAATTGATTTAATTGTTTCCATTAATTTCTTGTAAAATCTAATGTCTCTTAATATTTACTCATCGTGATTAAATTGTTAAGAGTTGATCAAATTTTAAGTAAACACAATTAATTTAATTGTTAATCATTTATTTACTTTAATTACATTGATTAAATTAGGTTAATAATCAATAAGCAATTGGTTTATAATAAGAAACAGAAACAATTAATATTTAAAGTGTCGCAAATTTAGTTATATGATTAACTGATTGCTGTTAATCAGCCAAGTTAATTAAGTGTATTATAAAATATCATTTGAAGGAAATAATCATTTTTAATTGTTATCAAAATGTAGTAGTTAAGAAATGAATCCAATTAAATCACAATCAAGACTTTTTTTGTTAATCATTTTGTATAATTAATCAAAATCAGTCACGTTTGATTAATGATTACGATTAATTTAAAGACGTTCATGATTAAATTAAATGAAAAAAACTGATGATTGATAATTAAGTTAATTTTTTTGGTTTTAAGTAACGATTAGATTAACTAATTAATTGATTCATGAGTAAATAATGATAATTGTCAATAGACAAAAATCAAAGGTTAAATTGTTACCATTAAAGAGTTAATTGTTTTACTAATTGTTCAATCTAATCCACCAATAAATCAGTATAATTAAAATAATAGTTTAAATCGTTGAGTGTCTCAGATTGTTGAATCATTTAGACTTTTGCAATTAACGAGAAATTAAATTGTTACAAAACAGAATGAATTAAAGTTGATAATTAAGGCAATATTATCAAAGTTAATTGCTACAAATTTTGTCAATCATTTGTAAATGATGATTATCACAATTAATCTCTTAATTGTGATCAACTTAAGTAACGTTGCCCATTGAGTGTTTATGATCAGAGTTGAAACAATTAAAACTTAATCAAAGAAATTAAAATTAAGTCTAATTGTTGTATTACTTTGACCAAAGAATAAAAATAATTTTAAATGTTGATGAGAAATCAAATATTATCAGAATGATAATTAGTACGACAGTGATGAAGAAGATGATTAAAAATGATGAATGGATTGAATTCCAAAAAAATGGAACAATTAAGAGAAATTAAGAGAACAATTAACGAAAAAAAACCCGAATTTCTATTGATAACTTAAGTTTACTTTCCATCAAACGTATTAGCATTTCATGGAGAGATCTAAATACTTAATTGTATAAACAAAATGGTCTAAACAATCAAGAAGCAGCGGTGATAATTAAAGTGATCAGATTGTGTATTTAAAGAATGAGAGAGAGAGAAAAGGGAATTGGAGATGATTTCTGGTTGCGAATTCAATTAACTGCTTTTGCGATTTCATTCTGAGTCCGATCTCGATTTTTGAGTCTCATGTTTTGTATTCAAAGTGAATGGAGGATAAATATTATATGAAGATGAATGTAGATCTTATTTGGTTAAGTTTGGTGTAAGTGTTTCTTTTTATATAAACGTTTCCATACAATCATTGATTTGAATATGTTGAGTTTTACTCTATTGGGCTTTGTCCTTTTTGGATGCAAGGAATGGTAATTTTGTTTTAACTCTGTAATCAAAGAAGAAATAAAAACAATCACAATTAGAATTAGAATTAGGTTAATTAATGAGAAGAGAGAATTTCAATTGATGCATTTTGAGGGAAAAGGAAAAATCAATTGCAGTTTAAATTGTTGTTGTTGTTTAAACCAAAATAATAGTGATTAAAGGTTATGTTTTTTGTTTCTATCAATCTATTTATCTCAATTTCACAATTAAATGGTTAATTGTCTTCCTGATCAATTTAATTCTAGAGAAATTAAATCACAAAGGATATTGGTTGGTGTTTTCATCATCACCACAATTAAAATGGTGATGATGAAAAGCTGATCCAATATTGTTAACTGGAATAGCTAAATTGGGACTGATTAATCATTTCCAGAGTAAATAAAATAGTCATGATTGTAAATGAAACAAAACAAAAACTTAATTTCCAACTAATCAAATAATCAAATTAGACTAAATAATCAGTCAATTATGACAACATGAACAGTGAATTATTCAGTACATTCATGGTGTTTATAGTTGGTGACGCATGCAACTTGTTGAACAAAGTACAATGCAATCAAAGTCTATTTAAAATTCACCACTATGAATATGATAATAATCATCATCTCGCTTGATAATATGAATAACAATTAATTTCCAATTGTTGGAGACAAAAAGGTAAATGAAAGGTCATATAGTAAATGTATAATGAGTTACGCTTAGTGTGAGAGGATAATTAAAGATTAAATAGTGAAAATGTATCTGTATAAATACACATAAAGGTAACCAGGGTGGGTCAATCATGGTAAACTTTGTTACCAAATTTAGTGCATGTAATTCAAGTGATGTAATTGATGTAATGTATCTGCGCATATATGAAAATCCTCTATATCAAACATTATCATTATCATCATCATCATCATCATTAACTGTACATTGAATTTACTGTACAATGAAAACAAGATAATTTTACATGGAGATGTAATTGTTTGTCAAAAGATTAGAAGGTAAATTGAAATCACCAGAGAAACCAAAGTATTCAAAATGAACACAATTTCCTAAAACATATAACGGGATTGATCATTTCATTCATTACTATTGAAACTTTGTGTTATCTTTTTGATAACCTTAACTACCTCTTACTTTTTCCCTTTCTCTTGGTTTTGTGTATATCAAATAAACAAGAGGGTAAAGAAAAGAAAGAGAGGTGGAAAGAGAAAAAGAAAGTCAGTTAATTGTCAAGGTCGATGGCCGCTTGGTTCGAATTAACTTGACGATGAAAAATTGACAACTTTTTCTACATATCATACATGAAACCTGAGAATATCATAATCGATAAAAAAAATAAAGTATTATAACTAATGAAAGAGAGAAGGTAGTCTTTGATAAAGACGGATTTAGAAAGGAGAGAGAGAGAGAAAGAAAGAGAGAGAGAGAAGGGACATGAATCTCCTCCATTGTAATTCTGGGAGGGGCATTATTGCTTTTTGATGAAATTCTCTTCTCTATTTAGATAGGAACCAAGGATGGAATAAAATTTGAAATAGAAAAGAAAAGCTTGCATCATGGTGACAATGTTAGAATGAAATGTAAATATTGCATCAATTGAAACGAAATGTATCATTCGTAAAGAGAAATATACTCACTGGGAGCAAACACCCTCCATTTGGGCGCAAATGGTTCCAAGATGACCATCGATAACTGTCTTGTTCATCTCGTAGACCTTTGGAACGGAGAAGAGGCCAAGATACATCATGGTAACCAAAGTCATTCCATTGAACCAGGCACCAACATACGTCAAACACCAGAAAGCGATAAAGTACTAGAGAGAGAGAGAGAGAGAGAGGAAATTAAGGATAATGATTACAATTAAAATCAACAATTTGAGGGCATTGTAACTTCAAGTGCTTTAGGATGGTTCCTTTTTTTCTGTATCAATACAATAGCCTCAAGAAGTAAAAAAACAACAATCTAAGAATGGGTACTGATAGTACTTGAAAAAATGGCTGAGTAAGATGAGTAAATATAGATTAATGAAATAGAATATAAGATAATTAAGTTTATCAGTGAGTGAGCTTAATGAAGGGTAAGTGAGTATGCGAGTGTGTGAGTGAGCATAAAGACTCTTAACTACACGATTAAACTCATTACTAATTATATAATGGTAGTTGTATTAGTGATGACCTTGATTCCAATTGAAAACATACACCACGTTGAACATTTTCTCATCTTCAATTAGTATCGATACATCAAAAAGAAACCAATCTTTCAAGCGATTGAGGTGAGAGAGAGAGAGAGAGAGAGAGAGAGAGGGAAGTAGAAGATGATGGAAAAGGAAGTGACGACAAAGAAAAAGAAGATGATTCAGGTGAATAAATAGACATAGAGAGTTCAGAAAATCATGATGAGTACCTTGATGGAATCGACAATATCCTCAACGAGGAAGATACTTTTCAACTTTAATAAGATGACGTTGAGATGCTTAAGAGTTTTGTCAACTAACTCATGAACCTTTTCCTCAGATGGGATAATATCCATTTCAATATATTGCCTGAAAGGATTGTGTTGATTGAGGTGTTTTAAGACCAATGCCAGAAGAAGATGCGTCATGACGATGATGAGCCAGACAAAAACGACAAATTGGTAAGAAAAAGAGAAAGAGAGAAAAAGACAAGATTATAAAAACATGACATTAGAACAACTATCGGAGCAATCATGCAGTTCAGAATTTTATCATCTGAAGAGGAAAACAAGTAAATAGGTAATAAAAAAATAGTATAAAAGGGGAATAAGATGATGAAAACGATGGAAGAAGACAATTTACTTGAAAGGATGTCCTTCGTCGGTCTTTTGGACTGCTTGCATGATGTTGCTGTAGATTCGATAGGCAAGGGTTGATCCAAGAATCAAGAGCGATCCATTCGCGATGACAGAGATAATTGAACAACATGCCAACGAGAGGAGTAGTAAAAGTCCACCAACGAAAACTACTCCACTTTTTTTCAAATCACGCCAATAGAGGAGATCGGTAACTGTTGAGAGATGAAAACAATCAATTAGTAACAGTATGAATATTAATCAAGTGATGGAGAGAGAGAGAGGATGGATTAAGTTAAGATTAAATTTGGGTGAAAAAATGAACAAATCAGTTTTCGTATCTTTAACAATCAATCATTCCAATTGAATGAAGATTATCATGATTAAAGCTCAGTATCATTACATGATATTGAACAATATTAACACCACGTTTCAGATAATCATTATCACCTTTCTAATTATCAGCAAGGTGAAACTCAGAGAAACGATGAAAAATCAAGAATAGAATATGAATTTTTCTTATCAATGTCTTTTTAAATTATTCTTTTTACTCTTTCTATTCTTCTGTCTACTTAATTCATCTCTTTCTTTCAGAAAAGTTACCACACACTTTTCTTCACTACGACAGCACTTTTCTGGTGAATCTCTTTCTTTTAATCAGAACAAGAGAGAGAGAGAGAGAGAGAAAGAAAGAAAGACAAGAAGATAAGAAGATACACAAAAGGGGAAAAAAGTAAGAAGAAAGAGAACTCAATCCGTGTCTTTATTTCTCTCTCTCTTCTAATTTGATACAAGAAATCAAGAAGAAGACAGAGAAAAATGTCACAAGATGAACAAATAGAAATTCTATTCTAAAATTGGTCAATTTTGCAAGTGGACAGAGAAAAACGATAATAAAAAAACTGATGGAATTAAAAGAAATTGATAAATCAAAGATGAATAATTAGTTGCGATGCCAACGAGGTAAAAGATAAACAATTATATAAGAACCTGAGTCACAATCTTTGGGTGGTGATGAAGCTGCTGCAGCATTTGATGATCTATCTCTTGCCATTTTAAGATAGTATTGGTTTTTTAATAACAAATAGAAATCACAAAATAAAATAAAATAACAATTTAAGAAAAAAACTAATAGATAAATTAAATAGATAGAAAACAATTAGAAGAGAGAGAGAGAAAAAAAATGAGTACTTGGTGAATATAAAATCAGAATCAAAACACCAAAAATATATAATAAATAATCAACCAAGTAGAACAAAAGTGAGTATAAAATAGAAATACTAGTCTTTCTTTTTCCAACAAAATGAGAGAGAGAGAGAGAGAGAATAGGGAGAGCCACTGAGAGAGACACACAGCAGAAAAAAGAGAGACGTAGAAAGAGAATTAAAAAAAGAAAGAGAAAAGAGAGTGAGATGAATCTGGTCTTATTGATGCTCAGAAACGTTAACACGTATGATAATTGATGTTACCAGGACGTTGTAGTGTAAATAACTGGAACTGTTGAAGAAAATTTCAGTTACATCAGCATCTTCATCATCTTCATCATCATCTTAAATCATTCACACAAAGTAGCGGGAGCATCATTATCATCATCATGAAAGTAGAAGAGAAAGAGAGATAATTGTATTCTTTTTTTCGAAGGAAACGAAAAAAATAATCAACTTTTTTTTGCTTCTTATTTTTATCAGCGATTGACGTTCGTACAATTCGATGTCGATTTTTTTCTCCATCTTCTAATCTTCCAATAAATCGAGTAACACATTTAAAGGGAGAATTAAGTTGATCATGAAATAATCACGCTTCTGTTATTGACTGATTAATTTATATAAATAAATCACCAATTAATCACAAGTATCAATCAACGGTGTTTTTTTCTCACAATCAACTTCAACTTTCTACACATAATAAAGTAATTATACTTGAAAGAGAGAGAAAGAGAGAGAGAGATTGAGTCATTTCTGCTCATTTCTATTCTTCTTTTTGTTTTCAACAGGTAATATGTCAATCTGAGGACATATTTCGGTTGATTGCTTGTAATTAGTTATTCAGTGAGAATGGGAGAGAGAGATGAAGTTATTTAAATTATCTGAGTAATGTGAACTTACTATGAGGATATCTTGTCAAAAAGGAGCAACATTGGGAACTTGATGAAGGTAATGAATCATCAATTGTTGGTTTTTTTGACTCTTTCTTTTCAGCTTGTTTTTTAACTTCTTTGGCTTCAGGTTTGGGTTGTTGTGGTTGTTGTTGTTGTTGTTGTTGTTTGGGTTCTTCGGGTTTAATATCAACGGCTGGTTTAACCTCCGCTTGGATGGTTGATGGAATTGGTGATGTGGTTGTTGTTGGTAATTCTGGTTGTTGATTGAAGGTTGATTCAACTTGTGACAATACTGTTTGGGTAATTGGTGAGGGTGGTGGAGGTGGTGAAGGAGTTGGAGCGCTTTGGTGAAAAGATGGAGGTGGTAAGGGTGAAGGTGATGATTTAACCTCATCGGTACTCATATTAAGAAGATCTCCTTCAAGAGCTGATGGTGTAAACGGTGTTGGTGATCCAGAAGAGGGAATAGATGAAGATACTGGTACGGTTGAGGTTACAGATCCAAAGGGTTCATTTGTTAGGTCCATATCTCGAACAGCATAATCATCGAAAGGAGATCCACCAAAACCAGTAGAAATGTTACCAATATTTGACAAAGGTGACGATTGTTGTTGCTCAGGTTGATCAGACCAATTGGAATCTTCTTCAGGTAAACTAGAATCAATTAAATTGGACATGTTGAAAGATGAAATTGAAATAGAATTTGTTACCAAAGGGAAAGAGAAAAGAAAATGGAGACCAGTGAGAATGAGAGAAAGATGAAAAGGAAAACCCAAGAGAAGAAAAATAATATCAAGAAGAAAAACGTAAGAGAGAGAGAGAGAGAGAGAGAGAGAAACAGAGAGTAGATTTATAAGAATCAGGGAGAGAAGGAGAAAAAGAGAGAAAAACAAATATTATAAGGAAATTTTGAGAGAAAAAGAGAGAGAGAGAATAGAGAAAAAAAAGAGAGAAGAGAAATTCTCAGATAAGACAAAAAGTATGACTCAATTTAAAAAGAAACACAGAAGAAAAATATGAGTAGACAGAAGAGAAAGAGAATTTCCAATTGGACTGAAGATGTTTTTGGATTTAAACAAGTAAATTAACAGTTAATTCAGTTATTAGGTGAAAAGAGAAAGTCAAGTAATTAACTGAATAGCTGTTAACTAAATTTAATTTAATGTTGTTTGTGGAGAAATGATGAAAACAAGTGATCAGTTTTTGGTACAAATAAAAGTGAAGTATTTTGATGAGACCAAACCCCAAACAAGTTCAGTTGTTGTTGTTATGAGCAAGGGGGAGGCTGAACAGCTACGCCATCTTTGCTTTTCCATTGCGACTCTCCCCTTTCTCTTATTCTCACCAATAATTAATTTAATTGTTTCAATTTAAATGTTTGTCTATCACCAGTTAATTGTTACACTTGGAGAAAATCACAACAATTAACTTGATCACTTGGTCATCAATAGATTTTCACATCTTCTGTGTTCATTTTGTTCTATTCTTTTTTCTTGGTTTTCTTGGTTTTCTCTTTTCTCTTTTCACCTTCCATCACTTTACCTTTTTTTGTGTCTATTTTGATGCGATTTTAATTGTTGATCATCTTTACATTTAATTTCTTAACCTTGGTAACTGATTAATTTTCTGATCATCTGGTTTTCTCTTTTAATTGTTTTCCTGTTTGTTCTTTTGTTTTTGTTCTCTTTTTTGATTTTACTTGTTGTTGGATTTTCTTCTCTCTGTTATGGTAATTTTTCCTTCTCTTCTCCTAGTACATCAATGTAAATGTTTCTTTTCTTCAGTTTCTATATTATTGATGGTGATTTGCTTTTTTCTTCTTTCTTTTTTTAGAATCAACTATTTAAATTAACCATTTCCTTCTATTGTTTACCAATTCCAATGAATCAGCTGTTAACAATCGACTAATTTTAAATTCAACTGATTATCTTTTTCCTCCTGTAAATCATGAGAAAAACAATCAATGGTCATGGTAACAAACTTGGTAATTCAATCTATCGATACAAGTCTCATAACCATTTATATGGTCAATTGTTGTGTTTCTTTGGGATGATTAATGTTAATTTGTACAACACAATGATGAATTTTCCCTGTTTAAATCAAAGGTGATTAAGGAATGGTAAAGACTTTCAAAAGTCCGACCGATTGAAACTCAATGGATTTGGTTATTTGAATTCTCTATGGAATTAAGGTGAGCCTTTTTCGATATTTTCTAATTACTTGAAATCGATTATCATTAATTGACGGAATTTCATAAGAAAAAACTTCGTCAAATTGGTGAAAAAGTTTCTCTACAAATGATTCGCAGAGTTGATGATGAGACAATTCGAAACTTTTAGAATCGTTTCTTTCTCATAAAAGTAACTATACAAACTTTTCGATAGATTTCAGATCAATTCGATCAGAAAAAATAAGTAGTTCGATTGACTTTTCAATCACAACAATCAGTGTATTAGTAATAGATGCTAATCAATCAATGTTTACATTAAATCTTTAAATTGCTTTCCCTTAATTACTCCATTCCAGGTAATCTAATAACTAATCTGATTCCACTCAAGAGGATCCGAGTGATAAAAACACGAAGAAAACTGAATCAGGGGCAATCAATGTTGATTCAGTTTGTGAGATGGAAAAAAATGAATCAAACAATTAAAGATAATCACCAATGGTGATTTACTGATTGCTAAAGGTAATAATAATAAAAACATCTTATTAAAACATTGGTGTGGCTCCGAATAAGTAATTAAAAGTTGCTCTTGTATTGGAAAATTGTAAAACTGTGAAATTTGAAATTGCAAAATCAAATCAAGTTAATTGTTTCATTCGATTATCAAAGTGTCCAGAATAGATTGTCCAGTTTCGAGGATTTCGACCGCAAAAAAAGGACCAAATTGCCCAATTAAATCGGAGAGGGAGAGAGAGAGAAAACAAATATCCAAGGAGGAATATCTTTCATCTGTTATAATCGTTAATCCATCATCGTTAATCCACCAATATGGATTATCCATTATTCATGAAAAGTATTCTTTTCCTGGCAAATTTGGTTTGTCTTTTTGTTTCCATAATTTGTTTCACCATAGATTCTGATCGTTGGCATGAATATCTCTCATCAATTATAACTCTTGTGGTGACAATTTATGGTTTCGCGATTTCTTGTCAAATTAATCAATGTCTTCTACTCTCATTTACCATTGCATCAGCCATTGATTTCCTTGTTAATTTGGCAAACATAATAATCATGATTATCTTAACCGTTCGTTGGAAACGATTCTGTAATGTTGGTGACACTTATTTCGATGATGGGTCAGGATGGACCTGTCATGATCTAAATTACAAAGGTTATTGGGGATTCGTTTACGCTGAGATTACACTTTTGCTGATCGGATTAATTTCCAGGATTCTAACAGCAATGTCATCGTTTTTCCTGGTTAAATACTATTTCAATGATATAAAAAATGAACACGATTAATGAGCCAAGTTGATTGCCAAAGAAATAAACGTAATCCAAAAGCAAATTTAGTGGTGAGAGCAAATCAACAACAACAATTAAAAAGGAAACAATTAACCGCCAGTAACAATCATCATATCATATGATTGAATCGCTTTCTCTTAATCATTAACCCAATCAGATTACAATTCATTTTCACCAATTTTCAATTTACTTACACTTTGTCCAATTGTGATTTCAATGTAATCCCAAAGATCAATTGATCAACAACAACATTTTGTATTAACATTACACAATTAAATCAAATCTTGTAACAATTAACACAATTTGAAAGTGGAAACATTTTCAACTCATTTTTAGGATTAACATGAACTCCTTTCAAATCCTTGATTAGTGTAACCGATTGTAACCATTGATAATCTACAATGTATGTTAATTGCTACAGATTAATTGTTTGCTCTCTCCTAATTGGATCAACAATGGAGCAATTAATATGTTTAGAGTTTAAATTATCTTTCCAATTGTAAATTGATGATTAATCGTCTCTCTTCAAACCAATTGCAATTTACTTTGATAATATTGTTTTCCATTTTGCTAACCAGTGATTTAAATTGTTGTGACAATTTGATTTCTTTGTGATTCTCAGGACGGAATATATTTTAATTCAATTCTGTGTTTTACTGTGATGATTAACTCCCAATGATTAACCTTTCAATTAATCAGGTAAGTAAATCAACCAATTGCTCATATTTCATTGAATAGAAATGATTTTCACTCGATGAGGAAACAATTTGATTGTCTATTGTAAGTAATTAGTTAATTTGGATACCAAGTGAAACAATTTTTCACATTTTATTGAGACTAATTGTTAACAATTAACCTTGATAATTAACCAATGGATTGTGAACAAAAAAACTTATTGTAAATTGAATTGTTTTAAATTTCTAGTTGATGGTCATTTACATGTTAACCATTTCATCTTGATTGTAGTTGCTTCATGTGAGTATCAATTGTGTTAATTGTTTGCCTGCGACAATTAACAAGGTGACAAAATCATCCAACTGTTAATTAACCATCAAAATATTTTAATTGACGCAATTAACTGAGAAACATTTACATCTACTCATTGACTTATATTAATCAATTGTTTCTTCAAATGGGTTAACATAATTGTTTCACATCGAGTGTTAAATTAACAATTTAATCTTACAGTTAATCAAGTTTATTTTTTTCTTCATTCTAATCTAACTGTTTTCCGAATCATCTTCATCATAATAACAATTAGTTTAAACGATCCCATGGAAATTGATTGTAACAATCAGTTAATCTTTCTCTGGTGATAGTTACTTGGCAGCCGATTTGTAAGTGCTTGTGGAGGTTGTGATTATAATTGTAATGATGGAAAATGTTGATTAACTAATTAATACATCAACTGAAGACTCATAATGATTATCTTGAGATATTGTGATGATTAACAATTGAACAATTAACTTTACCTGATGTTAACCAAACAATCAACGAGAATTCATTGAAATCAATCGCCTCAAACAACAATTGAAACTGAATGGATTTAAATTTGTTGATTGTCTTTTGAACAATATTTTCAAACAATTTACAAATCAACAGTTTTAAATGTCATCAAGTTAATCTGACAGAAATGATGTTAATCATTTGTTAATTAATTGCTGTGTGTAAATTAAACTTTCCATTTGACCTTAGTGTCTTTTAATTGATCAAAAATTAGTGCCAACAATTTGGAGACACAATTAACCATAATCTCGAAGGTTAATTAATCTTTCTGGTTTAATATTCATCTTCATGATTAACTGAATTACTGTTGTATTTTTCTGGTTCATCAATGAGTGTTTCTGGTTACTTTTCTGGTAACCATTCAAACAATTCTCGACGATTTGTTTACTTTGGTCTAATTTGTATCATCTTTTTCCTCTTCTACCTGACAATCAATGAAATTGGACCAAAATCAACGTACGATTATCACAAGGCCAGTGGTTTCGTCGATTACCTAACCCCACCATTGGAAAATAGCTCATTGAAATCTAATCGATCACTTTATTCATCTTCACATCTTCATCCGATCACCATTGAAGAAGCACCTAAAGTCCTTCTTTGGACTGGACTTTACCAGGACGGAACTTGGGAAAATAGTGTTGAAAAATTGGCCCCTTGTGGTGTTTATATTACCCGACAGAGGAAATATTGTGAAGCTAAGATAATCATCTTCCACTGGAGGAATCTTGAAGTTACTGATTTACCACCCAAATTACCTGATCAAAATGGATCTGGTATCATTCAGAGTCACCTCATCATACCTGGAGGTCAAATATAATGTCCAGTTTACAGAGTAAATTTGATTGTTGGGCCTCTTATCGACAAGACTCTGATTTTATATTCCTATGGTCGGATATTACCTCGAACTACCAATGAGACCAAAAAATTGAACCAAAAGACGATCAGATTAGCGTCTAAACCTAAATCAATCGCTTGGATGGTCTCCAATTGTAAAGCACCTTCAGGTCGCGATGATTTTGTCCGACAATTATCAAAGTTCATGCAAGTTGATATTTATGGTGCTTGCGGTAAATTGAAATGTTCACTTCCTTCCGACTTTCGATCGCAAAAGTGTTGGCAAAATGGCCAATGAGTACAAATTTTATCTCCTTTGAGAATTCAATTTGTCGTGATTATTTCACCGAGAAAGTGGTCAACATCCTGGACCTTGATATTATCCCAATTGTTTTCGGTGGTGCATCTTA